AAACAAAAAAACACCCCAATTACAAATCGATTTTAGAAACAAATTTTTTCTTGATCAAACAGGCCTAGTAGCGTTCCCTCTTTGGTGGAAACTAAGGGTCCTCTCCCCTTGGAAAGTTCCCATTGACTTCAATTACACACAGCTGGATGCTATAATGCCAACGGTGAAAATACTGGTCTCTCCTGTTTCTCACTATACAAAGACCAGGACTTTTATGTGTGTCATATATGTGCAATAACAATTCCCCCACCATAGTTTTTCAGAAACTAATTTTCAGTGGCAGAGTTAGGAAACATTTAATTCTCCAGATTTTTTTGGATATAGTTTCTACATTCTCTTACAATTGGTTCAGTTGGGTGATGCTAATGGGTGATATATATCAATTTTTTTTTCAACAAATGCTGTTCCTGAAGCTGGTGGTTCTACATCTCCATCATGACTAAAAAATGGCTGTAATGATTCATTCTGCTAGACACATAAGATACGCTATGATTTAAGTGAATCTATTTTGGACTGTGACATTTTTCTTGCGGTTTCTGGTGCCTGTCCAATTCAGGAAAAGCTCTTGGGAAATAACACAATTTGCAGAATGAAAGTTACTAAAAGTATTCTCCACATTCTGTTTGTGGGACCTCTAACATTTAAGGTGATTGCTTTCTAGCTGGGAGTCAGATCTTGGTGTCAACATATGCAATGCATAACTCCTAAGAATATCTGAATTTGTAATAAAAAAGTAAGTTCCAGCATGGTAAAAGAAGTCTTCTTTTCTCCTTCTGTCTTCTTCTTCCTCTCCTCTCCTTCTCCTACCTAGAACTTGGTATGGCAAAAGAGGCACTCAGATATATGCTGGTGAATGGCAATAAACAGTATGATGTACATCCATTTTCAAAATATTATTCTAATCTATTATTACAATCTGTCATTCCAAAATTAAGGGTACATCTGCACTATAGAACTGTGCAGTCCCCCTCGATGGACTGTCACCTTGTCGTGGTGAGGGGGCTTGCGCGTTCCGATGAACCTGTAGGCACAACAACTGGAGTCGTGCACTCCCAGGAGTGGCCGCGGGGGAAGTTCCAGACGAAGCACAGTCCGAAGACCCAAAGACCTCAACGGCGGAGCAGGCAGAGGATAACATGGCACATGTTACAACGGCTGCGAAGGCGGAAGAAGGCTGCAACAGACTGAGAAGCCATGGTCATTGTGTTAAACTACATCACCAGTGGAACCTCACTCTGTGAAGTCTGTGTGTTGATCAGTTGTGCACTGACCTCCACACATTAAAAAAAACCCACGCACAGGCATCTTTCAAAGAAAATAAAAGCAAACCAACCAAAGCCCCATGGCGATCAGCGAGTGGCGACGGGGGCAGGACTGTGAAATCTGGAAGCCCCTAGTCACAGACTGGCACATGGGCGGTGGGTACGGACTCAGTCGTTCTACCTCAAGGTCCGAGGCAGTTGAGTAGTTCGGCAGCTGTATCCGCGACTGAGCAGCCCTTTTGAGGACCCACTTTGCTCACCCCACATGGGGAGGGGGCTAGAAAAGGTGCCCTAAACATAGTCTGCCTCACTTATCCCTGACTGGACTGCTGTGTCCAGTGGGGTCACCACCCTGCGGCCAAAAAAAAAATGAACTTCGGTACGTGGAACGTACGGACTCTGATGGACAACAGCGGCAGTGAACGCCCCGAACGCAG